CTTTGCTGCAATGGAAAGTTCTGTTATGAAAAGTTTGGTGTATATGGCGTATTTCTTTCTGTTTTCAGCCTCCTTGACCTATGTGCCCCATAGTGGAATTGCTGGGTAAAATAATATGAATACTTTAGTCACTTTTCTTATATGACTCTAAATTATTTTCCTGAACAGTTAGACCAGTCAACAGCTCTAACAATAGTATATTAATGGGTCCATGTTTTCACAGTACTTCCAGCTTTTTTCTATATTTTTGTCATCATTGTCATTTTCCTTGGTGAAAGGTGAAACTTGAGAGCTGTTTAATTTGCAGTTCTCTTACCATGAGCAGTTTGGCTCTTTTTCGTGCTCTTTCCTAGGCCCAGAATGTTCTCTCTAGCCATCCTTTAAAGCCTAACTCAAATGCCAGTTCTTCTATAAAGTCTTCCGTGATCATTCTTTCTCTCCTATCCCATAGCATTTCATTTTGCAACCCTCTGATGTGTTTATCATGTAATAATGTCTATTCTAGTTATTTCTATATTTTTAAACTCCATGAAAGTAGGGAGGGACAGGGTCTTATCTAAACTGAATTCCGCCTCACACAATGCTTTTTTCACTGCAGGTCCTAAATACTTATCTGTCATTTGAATAATGAAATGAATGGATTCATTGATCTGGTACATTATGGAACCTTATATTAAATATCAATCTTCCTTATCACCATTTATTTATATTATCTTACTCTGTGGTATCCCATGATAAAGTTACAAGTCCTCAAATGCTTTGGTTGATCTCTCTTGTGGCCCATTGCCACTGGAGCCATTTGCCATTTTGTGAGAAAGTCTGGCCTAGTGTTATATGAGCAATGGCTACATCTCTTAACCCTTCTAGGTCTGTAGGCAAACAAATAAAGAGAAAACCACAAACCTTTTGATCATGGAAACCACTAGCTCATGGCTTGCATTTTGCATATGATGGCTCCAAGATGCACAATTTACATTTACAAATTACTTTGTGAATAACCAGATACTTATTCCACAACTTATTATTTGAATACCTCATGGCAGCAAGGCTTCAACTTTGCTCAACCAGAAAATTCAATTCAACATTTATTGAGCATATACTATATGTAAGACATTGTAATGGGTGCTGGGGATACAAAGATAAAGTTAGGAAGTCCTTGCCCTTTTAAAGTTTAAAATACAGTACTGTAAAATGAATATAATCTAATGTTACACATGGCTCATGCTTAAGGACCTACATAAGACTCTCCTCATTGATAGAGAGAATGATTATTCAACTATCCTTGCCTGGGTAAGGGACATTTTTGGTCAGTAATTCTCTCCACCAGTGAGGAGACCCTTTTATGTAAGTCCTTAGGTTTGTGCCTTAGATTATACCTGTAATCAAAATTGGATAATAACTACAAAGAAAAGGTGCTTACAAAAAAGCTAAAGCAAAGAGAAGTACAAGCTTGTACTTTCCTAACAAGAAGTAGCAAATATATTTCTAAAACAAATAAGGAACATTTCCTGATGGGCAAAGGTCCATCCTCTGAACATACACATACACATATCATTTACATTGGTAATTCTTCATAAATAGCCAGATACTTATTTCTTGACTTATTCACTGAATATCACTGAAAAAAGCATATTCTAGTAATTCTGAGGTGCTTGAAGTATCTCTCTTTAGGGAGGCCTGAGCAGTGAAGTGTTCATTGAGGAGTAATTCCTTAGGGGACAAAACCTAATTATACTGCTGAGAAATTCCAAAGAGCCAATTTCCTTCCAAACAGCTTATTGGTTGAAGTGGTTTCTAATGAAATGACCCTTCTCCATCACATCAAGCAGAGAGTGGCAGTTGAGAAACAAAAACGGCTTAGTTGAAGTAAAGGTAATGATGGCTCTTCCCAGAGGGCAGTCAGTGGTTGTGGTTTCCCATCCTTCATATGACCCAGCTTTTATTTTTGCTCTTGTACATAAGAAAGAGGGCACACTTGGCCTAACGTGCCATAGGTGGAGTTTGCCAGGACTGCCATTAGCTTTCTTGGAATTAGTGTGGTCAGACCCTTGTATGATGATTTCATCACAGCCCCATCCATCTCAGTGATTCACGAAAAAGGGAGAGTTGTGGCCTATGTTAACTGTCCCACCTGATTAGTTTACTGTTATCTTCAAAAAAACAGGGAGGGGGTGAGCTTGATAAATTGGGATTAAGAATGGAGATGGTGATTTGTTAGTTTGTTCAGAGTTTAGTATGGCCAAACATCTGTTTGTGATTTAAATTGTAAAGCTAACTGCTGTCCAAAAACATTCCATATTCATCCCTTAGTCAGTGATTACAATATTGGATAGTGGACCACCCATATTTGGCCAGCAATAATTCACTGAGAGACAAAGGAACAAAAATTTCTCTACATTAAGGACTCCATAAAGGATTGAAGGCTAGGTACACCCCACACATGTTGAGAGCTTCAGGTTCTGCCGGCTTGTTCTGTGATTTTTTCCTTGATTTTTTTTTCTTTTCTTTTTTTCTCTTTTCTTTTCTTTTCTTTTCTTTTTTTTTTTTTTTGCAGACAGACTGGCACCAGCCAACTAAGTTAAGCATTAAATTAAGAAAATCTAAGTCTATTTTTTGCTTCTCAGAATCATTATTTCACAATTAACCTTCCCCTTTCAATTACTTCGCTATCAGATTCAATGTTCCTGGGGAGTTAGCTCTGGCATCTGAGTTTCTTAGAGCTAGAAGCTTTATCAGTCATTTGTAGATGATTCATATTTATAGCACCATCCATTCAACCCTATTCATTATCTATTTCTGGGGCAAACATCCTCACTAGTAAACAAACAAGCAGTTCTACTCTTCAGTCCCCTACCACAGATGGATATACCAACTTCAAACTGGTCATATTATGATACAGAAGCTCAGTAGTGTCAAATTCACATAGAAACGAGGGTGACCAAACCATACGTAAGTATTCCTGTAGGCCACATATTGACTTAGAAAGCCACATATTAATATCATTTATGTTTTATTTTATTTTAATTAATTTTGTCAAATAACTCCCAATTACATTTTAATCTGTTTCAGGCACATGTGAGAATGTTGTGGGTCCCATGTTTGACACTGCTCTGATAGTTCACCTATTACAGGCAACTTAATCATTGGATTCTGCTAAGAGATAAGTTTAATTTCCAAGTTCTTTCAATACATAGATGGATCTGTAACCTCCTCAATGTATATATTTAATAGGCGTATACATGTTGCCTCCCCCAGCTGAAATGTAAGCACCTTGAAGGCAGAGGCTGTTTTATTTTTGCCTTTATCCCCCCCCCACCACCTAGTGCCTGACACACAGTAGGTGCCTAACCAATGCTTACTGGCTGATTGACTGATTCATGTGGGTGCTCCCCTCAATGTTTCGGACTATGCCCTATCTATGTCCTCACTTTGTGTTGCTTGCTCCCAACTATGACCAAAATAATTGACTCTAATATGATGACTTTCAACAAATAGATTGTAAGTCATACTTTATTATGAAAAGTAAAACCCTTAAAATCTTCAGTCTTCAAACGAGAGGGATGGTTGCTATGCATATGAGAGAATGGATTCTCTGTTAATGTGGGGAATAAGCACAAAACCTTTTCCAAACAAAAGACAAGAGTACTTGCTGATATCATCTCACTACAGAATACAGAAGTCTAACACTTTTCTCAGAATCAAAGGGCTTATTTGGTGAGCTGTGCCTAAATCCTTAAAAGCCTATCAGCCCACTTAGATACACATTCTCTTTATCCCTCTCTTTCCATTTCAGCACCATCATTGACCATGTACACAGCTTGTGGCAATTAAACAAATCACTGTCCAAGTATTAGTGACTCTTAAACATTTGACTGCTTGGAGCTAAAGTCTAGCATTTTCACATCTGGAAAATACCAAGATCAGAGCTTAATTGAAAAAAAAACATGAGTTTTTTGTTTTGTTTTTTTCCATGCAAGAAACTAATGTTAACTAACTATTGTTAACTTCCTAAAGCTCAAGACCATCCCTCGGGTTTGATTTTTGAACTTCTTCCATCTGGTTGGGACTAATTATTTGAGTATGAGTTCAAATGAGATTTTTAAACGTCTGACTCATTGCAACCATAGTTTTAGCCAACACCTGCATTCCCATCTCCTGGCAACCTCTTCTCTCACTCTGACATGTCAGAGATGGCTAGAGGGAGGCTCCAACTGGAGAGAAATACTAGAGTTAGGGCAACAGGAATGCTTCTGTAAACTGCATATTTGACAGGGTGAATAGCTCTCAAAAGGAATGAATTATCATGGTGGGTCAATCATGAAATCTAACACATTGTTCTGTGTTTCATACAGGGACCTTACATGTGGTAAGGGCTCAATAAATGTTTGCAGAGTGAATGAGTGAATGAATGGCAGAAGCTGGTTCACCAGAACTTATGCAGAAAAAAAAAATCAGCTATTGCTTCTCCTAAAACTTACTTCTTTCCCACCATGAAGCTCCTGATGTGAATTTGTTGTACCATTGCTTTTTAGAGCTAAAATTAGGATAGGCAAAGTGGGCAGCTGATCAAGCTGAATCTTATGGGAAGAGGGGTTAAGGGGAGAAATGAAGGGCATTTTAAAATATTGCATTCTTTTCAATGCATACCACCTGGTGACCCAGTCCTGGAAGTAGGCTCACCAAATCCCCCCATGAAGGGTGGCAGTAGACAGAGTCTTTGGCACATGTTCCCAGGACTTGCACCTTTTGGGCCAGTTCACCTGGTCTAGTCTTTCCTCCCCATACTTTACGTGCTGCATCACATAGGTATCAGCCAATTAATCAATCACCAAGCATTTATCAAGTACCTGGATGCCAGGACCAGTGCTAAGTGCTAGGGACACAAAGAGAAAAAAAATAATTCTGTCACTTTCCTCAATGAGCAGTTTTCCAAGAAGAGAGGGCACCATGTGGGGACTCAGCAGTCCTTCATCTTAGGAGGCTACTTCTGTTTAACCTACCTGGCCTGTATGTACCACCTTGAGAAGAAAACGGAAACTGGGAGGTTTCTTTCCTCGGTTGTTCTATGCTGTTTTCCTGACTTGAACTGCTTGAGCCGCTGCTGCTCCCTGCTGACGTGCCCCCTCCACTGTCCACTTCTTCAATGTTGCCTCCACTGTGCTGGCTGGCATTACAATCCTTGCGCATTCTGTGAACACAGGAAATGCTTCATCAAATTCTCACTAGGATTCCTATACCAAAAATTCTGCTCAGCAACCAAGTTCGAGGTAACTACTGATCTCTTTCACCATGTGTAGGAGGTTAATAATGCAAATGGGAATGTCATGAGAGAAGGAAGAGTCCTCATTCCCACCTTAGTGATTTTGTAAAGGAAGAAACTTCACTGGGCTGAATAAGCAATAGCCTTTCACCTCTGCCCATCTTCTAATTAAAAGCCTGGAGAAAAGCAGTATTCAGGCACAACTTCTTAGAATTCATTAGGAGGAACCCAGAGTAGAAAGATAAGGTTTATATAGCTGGCAGGGCCATGCTGAGGGAGGTCAGGCCTGGCTTTCTGTAAGGTATATGAGACAATCACTCATAAAGATCCCTAGCCTCTGAAGCTCTGTGGGAACCGAAGACAGATTCTCAGCCTCTGTAACTTTGAGAAATAGCCATCTTCTCAGCTGTGTAAGAATTGCCCTCACTTCCCCATCTCAGACAGTGGGCCCAAGCCTATTTGCTATTTTCTGTGTACACCCTTTGTGTGTAATTGCTCGAATCACAAGAGGAAACCGATTCACAGTGGAATTTAAAGTCTGAGCAATTTGTGGTTTCTGCAGCATCCACTTGGATGCAGGAGTTTTTTTGGTTGGAAAAAAAACCTACCTTAACCACTTGTTTAGGAACCAGGACTTAATGTTGTCCAAGCTGATAGGTCCACCCCAAACGTTTCTCATCTGGCTGTGGGTACCCAGGTAGGATGTGGTTAAGGGAGAAACATACATGGGGTATCCTAGGGGCTGATCACAGGAGGAATTGATCAAGTTCCTTAGGACTTGCTTATTATTCTGGATACTGCCTCTCTCCGGATTACGGTTACGTAGGAATATGAGCTCTTGCTGTTGGCCGGCCCAGAGTCCTCGGACACATTCCTTGTTAACCTACAGGCCAGGGCCAGGTCAGGGAAGAAAAGCAGATGGATTCTCAAGTCAGGACTTCCATTTTAACTCATGTAAGAGACAATATGGTGTACAGTAGATAAAGGTGAGCTTAAAGTAAAAAAAAATGTAGAGCTACAAAAGACCATGCAGTTAGATGGAGCAGTATATAAGAATGCTGAACCAAACGCCATGAAGATCTGAGTTCAAATCCAGCCTCAGAGACCTATTAGCTGTGTGAGCTTGGGCAAGTCACTTAACTTCTCTCTGTCTCAGTTTCCTCATATGTAAGATAGGAATAATAAGAACATCTGTCTAATAGGATTGTTATGAAGATCAAATGAGATAATATTTGTAAGCACTCTGCAAACTTTAAACTGCCTTGTAAATGATTTGTTTATTCATTCATTTATCTATTAATTTATTAATTTATCTATTTATTTATTTATTCATATGTTGCCCAATCCTCTCAGCTTACAGATGAGGAAACTGAAAGAAACTAGGCCACACAGCTGACAGGGCCTGAACCCAGGTCCCCAGACTCTAGATACAGAGTTCTTTCTGTGCTACAATAATGTCTCCCACATCAGAAGACCTAGGTTTAAATAAGACCTTATTACACTCTTGCTATCTCTATGACTCTGGTCAAGTCATTTAAGCACTGAGAGCCCTGAGCTTTCCTATCTGTAAAATGGAGATAATTACATTTGTACTATATACTTGGAGGAGTTATTGTGAGGAAGGTGTTTTCTAAACTTTAAAGCACTTACAGATGTTAATTACTATTCATGGAGAGGGAGTAGGGCTCTGGGAGTAGGTCAGTGCTCTCATGCTCTTCTACAAAAGGCAAAAGCATCCCAGCCATAGAAGATGGGGACACATAAGGGAAATCAAAAGGAAATGGGATTATATTGCAACACATGGGATAATGGCTCCATGAAAGGAAGCATTTTCTGCCAGTAAGGGTTTCCAGGCCAAGAATGGCTTACTTCCTTCTCTGGAGTCTTAAGCAATAGATATAGTCACAAAGAAAGAGGAAAAGGACCCATACATACAAAAATATTTATAGTAGCTATTTTTGTAATGGCAAAGAATTGGGAATTGAGTGGGTGCCCCTCAGAAAAGAGCTGAACAAATCATGATATATGACTGTAATGGGATACTATTGTGTTATAAAAAATAATGAAAGGGATAGCTTCAGAGAGACCTGGGAAGACTTGTATGAACTGATTCAGAGTGAAGTAAACAGAACCAAGAGAACAATTTATACAATAACAACAATACTATAAAGATAACTTTGAAAGGATTTGGAACTCTGAGAAATGCAATGACAAACCACAATTCTAGAGGACTGATAAAACATGCTCCCCACCTCCTGACAGAGAGGTTATGGACTTGGGGGTAAAGAATGAGACATAGATTTTTTGAGCATGGGCAGTGTAGGAATTTGTTTTGTTCGACTATGCACATTTACTACAAGGGTTTTGTTTGCCTTTTCTTTCCAGGGGGAGTAAGAGGGAGAAAAAAATAGATTTCGGTTAATTGAAAAAATGAAATTTAATTTTAAAAATCGATTTATATCTACTTGGAATTGCCAAAGCAATAAGATTCCATGAAACAAACCAACCTCTAACTGATCTGTATCACTCTCTTTAGATATGTGCTGTTTTCTCTTTTTTTTATTATTTAGTATTTTTTCCCCAGTTACATGTAAAAACAATTTTTTAACATTCATTTTTAAAACTTTGAGTTCAAAATTCTTTCTCTTCCTCCTTCCACACCCCACTCATTGAGAACGCAAGCAATTAGATACAGGTTATACACGAGTAATCATTCAAAACACATCCATAGTAGTCATGTTGTGAAAGAAAACATAGACCAAAACAAAAAAAACAAAAACCTCAAGAAAAATAAAGTAAAAAAAAGTATGCTTCAATCTGCATTCAGATACCATCAGTTCTTTCTCTGGAGACAGATGACATTATTTCATCATAATTCCCTCAGAGTTGTCTTGGATCACTGTATTGCTAAGACTAACTAAGTCATTCACTGCTTATCATCTTATAATATTGCTGTTATTTTGTACACAGTACATTTCACTTTGCATCAGCTTATGTAAGTCTTTCCAGGTTTTTTTCTGAAAGCATCCTGCTGATTATTACTTATAGTACAATAGTATTCTATCATAATCACATACCACAACTTGTTCAGCCATTCCTCAATTGATGGGCATCCCCTCAATTTCCAATTCTTTGCCCCCAGAAAAGAGCTTCTATAAATATTTTTGTACTTATAAGTTCTTTTCCTTTTTGGTTTTTATCTCTTTTGGGATACAGACCTAGTAGTAGTATTGCTAGGTCAAAAGGTATGCATGCTTTTATAGCCCTTTCAGCATGGTTCCAAATTGCTCTGCAGAATGGTTGGATCAGTTCACAACTCCACTAAGAGTGCATTAACATCTCATTTTTCCCACATCCTCTCCAACATTTGTCATTTACCTTTTCTGCCCTATTAGCCAGTCTAATTCTGAGGCAGTACCTCAGAATTGTTTTAATTTGCATTTCTCTAATCAATAGTGAGTTAGAGTATTTTTTCATATGGCTATAGTTTTGATTACTTATCTGAAAATTGATCATATTTTTTGATCATTTAGCAATTGGGGAATGGTTCTTATTTTTTTATAAATTTGACTCAGTTCTCTATATGTTTGAGAAATGAGACCTTTGTCAAAGAAACTTGCTTCAAAATTTTTTCCACAGTCACTATTGTTAACTATTTTCCTCCATCCTATCCCCCTCCCCTGTTTATTATATTCTCTCTCTCCTTTCACCCTTAACCTTCTCAAAAGTGTTTTGCTTCTGATTACTCCATCCCCCAATCTGCCCTCCCTTCTATCATCCTCCCATTCTTTTATCCCTTTCCTCTGCTACTTTCCTGTGGGGTAAGACAGATTTCTATACTCAATTGTGTATGGATGTTATTCCCTCTTTGAGCCAATTCTGATGAGAGTAAGGTTCCCTCACTCCTCCTTACCTCCCCCCTCTCTTCTCCACTGTAAAAGTTTATTCTTTCCTCTTTTATGTGGGATAATCTACCCTATTCTACCTCTCCCAGTACATTCCTCTCTCTCCCTCCTTAATTTTATTTTTAGATATCATCCCTTAATATTCAACTCACACTTGTGCCCTCTGTATTATACTCCTTTTAACTACCCTAATAATGAGAAAGGTCTTATGAGTTACAAATATCATCTTCCCATATAGGAATGTAAACAGTTTAACCTTATTAAGTCTCTTATGATTTCCCTTTCCTGTTTACCTTTTTATGCTTCTCTTGAGTCTTGCATCTGAAAATCATGTTTTCTATTCAGCTCTGGTCTTTTCATCAAGAATGCTTGAAAGTCCTCTATCTGATTGAATGTCAATTTTTCCTCCTGAAAGATTATACTCAGTTTTGCTGGGAAGGTGATTCTTGGTTGCAATCCTAGCTCCTCTGTCCTCTGGAATATATTCCAAGACTTACGGTCCTTTAATGTAGAAGCTGCTAAATCTTGTGTTATCCTGACTGTGGTTCCACATTACTTGAATTGTTTCTTTCTGGCTGCTTGCAATAGTTTCTCCTTGACCTGGGAACTCTGGAATTTGGCTATAATATTCCTGGGAGTTTTCATTTTGGGATCTCTTTTCAAGAGGTTATTGGTGGATTCTTTCAATTTCTATTTTACCCTCTGGTTCTAGAATATCAGGGCAGTTCTCCTTGATAATTTCTTGAAAGATAATGTCTAGGCCAGGGGTGGTGAACCTGCAGTTTTAAGGCCACATGTGGCCTTCAAATCCTTAAGTGTGGTCTTTGTACTGTAAAATTTGGATTCAGTCAAAAGGCCACACTTAGGGATTTAGAAGGCCACATGTGGCCTTAAGGCTGCAAGTTCCCAACCCCTGTTCTAGGCTCTTTTTTTGATCATGGCTTTCAGGTAATACCATAATTTTAAAATTATCGCTCCTGGATCTATTTTCCAAGTCAGTTGTTTTTACAATGAGATATTTTACATTGTCTTCTATTTTTTCATTCTTTTGGTTTTGTTTGATTCTCATAAAGTCATTAGCTTCTATTTGCTCCATTCTAATTTTCAAGGAATTATTTTTTTTCAGTGAGATTTTGGATCTCCTTTTCCATTTGGCCAATTTTCTTTTTTAAGGCATTCTTCTTCTCATTGGCTTTTTGTACCTCTTTTACCATTTGGCCTAGTCTATTTTTTTAAGGTGTTATTTTCTTCAGTATTTTTTGGTGTCTCCTTTACCAAGCTGTTGACTTGTTTTTCTTGCATCACTCTCATTTCTCTTCCCAATTTTTCCTCTATCTCTCTTGCTTGATTTTCAAAATACATTTTAAGTTCTTCTATTGCCTGAGACCAATTCATATTTTCCTTGTAGGCTTCAGATGTAGAAGCTTTGACTTAGTTGTCTACTTCTGAGTGTGTGTTTTGATCTTCCTTGTCACATAGTAACTTTCTATGGTAGGAGATTTTTTTCCATTGACTGCTCATTTTCCTAATCTATTGCTTGACTTTTATTTCTTTGTTACAGTAGGGCTCTACTTCCAGGGTGGAGGGAGCACTGTCCCAAGCTTCAGGGTTTTTGTGCAGCTGTTTTCAGTTCTTCCAAGGTGGTATGATATAAGGAGAGGTGTTTACTCCACTCCTGGCCTGTGCTCTGGTCTGTGAACGATCACAAGTGCCCTTTTCTGCCCTGGAAATGAGGAGGATCCTGCTCCACTGCTGCTACTGCAAAATGTGCTATGCTAGTGCTCCTCCTCACCCTGGGACTGCCACCCAGGACTGTGACCTGGACTTGAGTATGGGCAAAACAACAGATTCCTGCCTCAGTGCCACCAAAAAGAAACCTGTACTCTCCTTCTGACTAGTTGTTAACCCCTTTACCATCTGTGGGCTGAGAGCTCCGGAAGCAGCCACTGCTGCTGCCACTGCTGATTCAGTCACTCCCAAGGCCTGCTCCTGGTTTGCTGTGGCCAGAGCTGTGCTCATGTGGCCTGCACTAGACTGTGTTCCTCTCTCACCTTCGCGTAACAGACCTTTCCTGCTGACCTCCCAAGTTGTCTTGAGCAGGAAATTTGTTTCACTTTGTCTTTTTGTGGGTTCTTCTGCTCTAGAATTTGTTTAGAGTAATTTTTAAAGGTATCTGGAGAGATTTGGGGGGGAGAGCTTAGGCAAGTTCCTGCCTTTACTCTGCTGTCTTGGCTCTGCCCTTTCTCTAACTTCTTGCTAACTTCTCCAGCTTTAAACCATTGGTGTGAACTCATTTTCCTATCTCCTACCAAGCTCTTGCATTTACTTAACCCATGAACACCGACTTACTTGTCATGCATTCATATTATTCTATTATAGCACAACTTAAAGCATCCCTTCATTATTAATTAGTCCCCAATCATAGACTCAAGTATGTCCCATACCTTTCCTGTGGTATAGACATTCAACAGGACACTTTCATGCTACTTCCTTGAATAAGACATAGCTTTTTGTTTTTGTTTTATGGTGATGGCATGCTTGGCACTCTCCCTCCTTACTCTACTGCTTTGGCATTGTACACAGATAAATATAGTCTAAATGTAGCATGGGCCATGAAATAGAGAGAAATGGACTAAGTGACTTCCACAAGTACCTTCTTAATCAAACAATCAACAAACATTTATGAAACCCCTACTATATGCCACAAATTTTTTAAGGTTCTGAGGATACAAATACAAAAGTGAAACAATTCTTCAAGGAGTTTACAATCTAGTCAGTGGTTCTGAAAGGTACCAAATGATATTTAAAATGAAGGAAACTCATCTTGTCACCCTAGTCTGTTGATTGGTAAATGCTCATTTAGAAACAAATTACTGAAATGGCGTATGGATTCACCAAGATGGCACCAACAATCAATCCTCATCTCCTTGGATACACCCAAAAATAAGAAATGGATTTTCAAAACAAATCCTACTGTACCTTGATCACCTTGAAGCTCAGGTAGCTTTTGTGTAGCATGATAACCTTATATTCATCCGTGCCTTCATCTACCACATGCCTCAGGGTGAGAAGCTCCTCTTTGTTGGACAGGACAGCACTCCTCCATGCAGGATCTCCTTCATGGCAAATCACCACCTTTTTCTCAAAGGATTGAATGGCTTCATAAAGGACCACAGGATCCTCATATTCATCTAGACACGTGAACTGGTCCTGAAAAAATAAAATCCACCCAGAGGCTTAATTACAACTTGAACATCTAGTCTTGTTTAACAGAGCCTCATCCCCTAATAATGAATTGATCACCAAATCCACATTTCTTCCTTTGTTCTCTTCTTTGTAGCACAGGCTTCAGGCAGGTGTCACTTTGTCAACATCGGGGATATATTTCATAAGAGTGGTGATTTCTTACTTCTTCTGTCCACTAGGAAGGCATTTGACTAAGATCCACATGCAATTCCAATGTAGCCTGGATAACTTTGGCCTCTTTGGAATATCACTACCCCATTGCAGTTTACCACCCAACGTCAGCTTCCCATTAGAGAAGAACAACAGTCACAACAACAAAAACAAGTAGATGAAGGGGCTGAGAAATTAACCCTATGAAATGGAATTCAACTACATAAGTAAACTAAATAGCAAATCCATGGAGTGAAAGAGGTGATGCCTTCTCTTAAGAAACAGGAGTCTTTCCTTAAACTCTCTACTTTTACCATTGCCTTTCTTTTCTTTTCTTTATTGATGGTGTCAGGGAAAATCACAGATGTAAGAGATTAACAAAGGAACATACCTGATGAAGCTTTAAAGACATCCTTATAGCTGGGGCGACAACTTTATGCAGCAGATCCATGTCAGCAAACACCCATTCATCTCTTGATGTTATTCTAAAGTCACCTTTGAACAGGGCATGGAGACCATACAGAAAGGAGTCTAGGCTGTAAAATAATGTTGTTCCTTATTTTCGACGCAGAGTGGAAAAGGCTTGGAGGAAGCCAGTTATTTCAAACAAGATTTTTCTTCCCATTTGTCTTTGTCAAAATCCCAGTGTCACTGTCTTAGCATGAGTTAAAGAACTGGAAATACTACAAGCTATTCCACTGGGTCAAGATGACTGGCCCCTGATTCACAGCATCACGCCAGACTCCCAGAGACCACAAATCTTATTCCTGTCCTCATATCAAATAATGAGTATTACACTGTTGTAATCATTTTTATAGATTTTATAAGCCATGGAACTGTCTGTCTGATCGATGTTATATTAGAGAACACAGAAAGTATTTTTGGTCAGAATACACTTTTGTTAATGCTGTTCATGGCTAACCATTTGGGGATCCAGCCTACAGTGCCAAGAAAATAAAGAGACCAGCTTATCTCAATGCTGACAACAGTCACAACCAGCAACTTGGCACTTGCAGACAACACTTTTATCTAGGGGGCTGGTGATGCAGTCTGTGTTATCCAGGGTCATTTATCTCCCTGGCTTCTGGATGTCATTTAGAGTTACGTCACTACTCCTTGAGGACAGGGACTATTTTTTATTTTGTTTTTGTCTTTGTAACTGTACTGTGCCTTGTACATAGAAGATGTTTCATAAACATTTGTTGAAATAAATTAAATTGAATTGAATTAGTGATGAGATGCAGAATGGTACAGTGGAAAGAGTGTTACGTCTAGAGTCAGGGGTCTTAGGTTTTAATCCTGCCTCCAATGCTTGTGTGACTTTGGGCAAATCACCAAATCCAGTGGGTCTCAGTTTCCTCATCTATAAAATAAAGAGATGGGACTAGATGGCTTCTGAGATTCTCCTGGTTTTAGTTCTATGACCCTATGTCACTCTACTAGAGTATGGGCTAGGGAAATAAAGGAAAATTTTTTAAAAATTCTACTCATTAGTAACTTTGGTAAGTGTTGTGATGGAAGAGGAAGTCAAAACTAGTGATGGAAATGATCTTTGGGAATTATCTGTATTTTTCAATTATCCATGCCCCCCCCTTCTCCTTATTTGCTACAAATACATGATCACCTTCTATATATAGAACAAAAGGTTCAGTTAAGTGAGCTTTCTCTCAGTATCTGGGCTGCTCTTCCTCTCCTCCCCAACTCCCATTTTTGTAGAATATGAGAAATAGGGTTTGGGGAGTTACTCATCCTAAATTCTTAGGGTGGGGGGAGGTGATCTGCTCCTCTCTCTCTCTTTTTATTACCATTAAAACATTATTTAGTATTCTTCCTCTCACAACCTTGGGGCATTTTATTCTGAATTCCTTGCTGAATCCCAGTGAGGTAGTTAAATGACAAGTACAAGAAACATCATCCCTAATAGTGTTGAACTGGGAGAGAATGTGAAGGAAAACGTGTGTGAAAGGGGCTCTCTGAGGATGGCTGGCTCATAAGGATTTAATGACTTGGCTCACTGAACAAGTCTCTTGACTCAACACGAGGCATTTAGACCTGCACATTAGGGAAATGATTCCACTGATTACCATTTTTACATTTATTTGCAAAGTGTACTATGCTCATTAATTTCTCCTCACAACTCCCTAGAGAGAGATGTCCACATTCAATGGTCAGCTTGGACAGGAGAAAATGAAACTGTGAAGCATTGGCCACCAGGACTCCTTATTGACAAGGAAGACCATTTGAACCTCAGTGAGAGGGGGGATGTGTCTCCAGAATGCAGACAAGCCTCCCATGGATTGCCTTGGAGCAGTGAGGCCCTAAGGCTTTCTGTTACAACTGGGCACAGTGAATTTGCTACATAAGACAATCTATGCTGGTTGACTTTCCTAGTAAGAAAAGGGAATAAGGCCAAGGGTAGGGGCTTTTAAAATGTTTACAGTGTTTTTTTCCCCTAAGGCCTCAACTGAAAGCATTTAAAAATATGCCCTGTCCCCACGGAAGAGAACTAAGTACTGAATTGAGAGAGAGCTAAGTCCTAGAAATGGGGGAGTAAGGAGTGGGGAGGGGTGGGCTGTCTTCCAGGAAGGACTCAATTCAGTCCTATACTCAGGGATCTATAGGCATGGTGCTGTAGAAATGTATACATAAGAAAAACACCATTCCCATTTTATGGATGGAGGAATGACAAGCAAAGATGAATGGGTTTGCCCAAGGTCCCCTAGCTAATCAAAAGCGAGGCCAGAAAGAGGATGCTGCTAATCAAAAGTGAGGCCAGAATGAGGATACAGGGTTCCAGGCTGCCAGTGTATTTCTTTCTCAACTATATTTTAAAGGAACAAGATTTGACTTTGGCTTAACAAGGGCCAAGAAAAACAAAGTTCCACCCAGGGCTTGCACAGATGCTGAGCTCTGATCCAAAACCACCTCCAAACAACAACAGATTATATGAAGTTTCTATTTTCAGTGAAAATGATATATCATGCCACTCAATTCTGCTCACATGGAATGGTGCAAAGTGGAGAAAACACAAAAATAGAATTTTTCCTCAGCACCTTAGAGATGAAACACTCCAACTTTATGATGCATATATTACTTGTCTTATTCTCTAGAGAAGGAAAATCTCTTCTTAATTGCATTTTCTTAATTATTTCAGGAGAAATGAAAAAAATATGTGGCGAGATAGTGTGGGAGTGAGGTAGAGGAAAGAAGTGGGCACTAGACACTGATAACATATTTCTGATTTGGATCTGATAGAAGCTCTTGAATTTCCAAGCTGGAAAGAACCTGAATCTCCATAGGGATATAGATAGATAGATAGATAGATAGATAGATAGATAGATAGATAGATAGATAGATAGATAGATGATAGATACACACACACATATATACATATATACACATATACATATACACATATACATATACAAACACATACATGCATATACGCAGACACATGCATGCACATTCATACACATATATGTATATCTATATACCTTATTGTTTTCAAAGTGATATACGTATATATCTTCAAAGAGTAATGTCTAAACATATAAGTACATGACATATATTTAAAGACACAGCAATGGAATTGGTGAGAGATATTATGGTATAGAGGCCAGATGACTAGTCCTGAAGCCAAAAGAACCTGGATACAAGTCTTGTCCCTGCCAGAGAGATGTGTCCATCTCTCTAAGCCAGTAAGTTACAGTGCATTTACAATCCAGAATTGACACAGGAAGTTTCTACTTCAGGAGCTGAAATCACAGGTCCAGACTGAATTTTTTTTTTAAAGTTCCTCTTTTACCTTCCCAGTGTGCCTTTCATAGTACTACTTCCTATCTCTTCCCCACCATGCCCTCTACACACACACACACACACACACACACACACACACACACACACACACACCCAGTAAAGAGCTGGTGAAGAGACTACTATACAAAGCAGAGTTCATTTGAGGGAAGCAAGGCCAAGCAGACAGCATATAGCCAAGGAAAGTACCCCCTATGAATAACAAAAGGCAACCAGGATGTTAGCTTTGCCAACCAGTCAGGAAAAGAGCACATTCAGTTGTGGAGAGCACTAAATTAGGTGCCATGCAAAATTTAAAAGGAAAGAGAAGACCAAGTCTTTAAAGATAGATTTTAAAACCTTTTGAGAAAGATTGAACAAAGCTAGATTTAAACACATAACATTTATATCCCAGCAGCATGTGAACATCTATAAAGCCCTAGTTCTTAACAGACATGTATGTGCAAAATCTTTTGTTAGACAAAAACACCACTAGAAATAATGTGATTCTTTAATAATATTGATTAATTCTATGTACCAGCATTGTGTTATGTGCTGGGGACACGAATACAAAAGGGAAAGAGCTCCAGCATTCAAGAAACTTAAGGAAGACAATCCATACATGTAAAAGTTGCCCAAAAATTTTAGTGCAGTTTTAAGCTTAAAATCCACAATAATGATAATGATTATTAACAATTATAGATAATTTATATATTATTATTATTCATAATAACTGGGCATCTAGATGGTGCAGTGTATAGAGTGCCTGTCTTGGAATCAGGAAGAGTTCAAATTTGGCCCCAAACACTTACTAGTTGTGTGACCCTGAGCAGGTCACTTAATCCTATGTGACTCAGTTTCCTCATCTGTGAAATGAGCTGGAGAAGAAAATGGCAAACCACTCCAGTATCTTTGCCAAAAAAACCTCAAATGAGGTCAAGAAGAGTTGGACATGGGTACAAATGAATGGATAATACATAATATATTAAAATGTATTAACTATGTTTTTCCTATATAATTAATAATGTATTAAAATACAACATAATGGAATATAGTAATTATAATAGTGATAGTGATGATTATGATAATAATAGATAACATTTGTGTAGTGTGTACTATGTGCTAGTCACTGTGCTAAGCATTATACAATGATTATCTCATTTGATCCTCACAACAACCCTGTAGTAGGTGCTATTACTATCCCCACTTTACAGATAAAGAAACTAAGGTAAACAGAGGTTAAATAAGTTGCCCAGAATCACACAGCTAGAAAGTGTCTAAGTCTGGATTTGAACTCAGATCTTTCTGACTCCAGGCCTGGAGCTCACCCAGTTGCCCCTATGAATACTTTTGGGACATCCTATTTAAATGTGTGTAATGAACATATACTAGTTTTCAGTATGAGGGGAAGGTGGTGCAGGTATCACAAAAATAGTTTCCTGTAGAAGGTGGTGATTATGTTAGTCTTGAAATCAGGGATTCCAAGAGTCAGAAAGCTGAGGAGGGATTGTATTTCAGGCATGGTGGACAGCATGGGGTGCTGGGAGGTGAGACGGAATATGAAATAGCTGGTAGGACAGCATGGCAGGACTACAGCACATATAGAGGGGTGTAAGAAGTTTGGAAAGGTAGGAAGGGATAAGATTGTGAAGAGGCTTAAATGTCAAATATAGGAATTTATATTTATTCTAGAGGCAATAGGAAATGATAAATAGCTCATACCTGGGCGTGCATTTTTTTTTCA